CATAGTCAGTCACAGATTATGACACTGTGGCTTTTTGAGTCATGCAGACATGTTCCAAGCTGCTTGGTTACAATTAAGGGTGAGTCACGTCAGTCTCACCTGCCCACAAAACAGCTCAGGTCACACCCCCACAGTTTTTTTTGTTGTAAAAAAACTTGAGAACCACCTCAAATGAAACTGTTTGTTTACACAGTTTAGCTTAAGGCTGCAGAATGCTGTTTCTTCAAGGTTTGCTAAAAATAGTGCTCTTTTTTCCCTTGCAGTTTAGCTTACTTTTGAATTTAATATGCAGCTTGAAGTGGATTAACATTTACTTGTCATTATTTTGTCATGTCTGTTTAATCAGAATAACCTTGTTGTGCTATTTTTCGTACTCTTTGTGGGACAGAACAGAGGTTTAAACAAGTTGTTATTACTAATCGGCCTCAAGATTGACTAAGACACTCATGTATGTATTTGTTCCTCAGTATTTTCTTTATCCTTATCACTTATGTGAATTATCAGAAGTACTGTTATCACCGTAGTGTCAGTGAGTCAGTAGCACAGAGGAACTTAAAACAGTAGCATAGACTCTGCATTATTTATCGTATTACTTTCAGTATTAGAATATACCTGGATGCAGTCAGATGAATCAATAAAAAATATTGTAATGTTAACATTATTGCATATCTCTTATATAAGGATTCCACTCCATACTGCAATACCTGTGTGCACATTTAACTAAATACGCTAATGACAGCTTCAGATAAGAAAACATTTTTAAATATGTGAAGATACTAAGATGATAGACTTCTGACCATCTCAGCATTTTACTGAAAAATAAATTTCATAGACATTTTGGAAATTTCAGCTGTGTTAAGTGAGGAGTTGGTTATCTGATTCTAATTCAGGCCCACATGAAATTTTCTGGAGGGCTTCTATAAGCATATAGATAAATGAATTTTGAATGTAAGCAACCAAATGAATAATGAAAGCCGATGTGCTTTTAAACTTTTTTGACACTATTCACATAATTTCACTGCCTTCCTCTTACTTTTAAAAATAATACAGAAGATACTGTGTTCATGCACAAATGTTGCTACTCTTTTGCTAACATGGACAGTTTTAGGCCAGTTTTTTTTGGATAACAGGGACGGTCTGTGATCATGTGACTTTTTGTAGTTGTAAATCTAGTTTCTGTGCAGTGCACATAATTTTTTTAGGTTTTGAGACTCATCAGTGGTCATCCCTTCTCAAGTCAAAGTTCATGTGAAATGAGTTTCCTCGTAGCTTGGCTGATGATGTTAGTAGCTTTTGATGGATTGATTTTATCCTTTACAGCCCTATGTGATGAATAATTGCAGTAAATTTTAATGCTTCTAGATTGGGTGATTCTTTCTTTCTTGTTCTCTTTTGTTTTGTATCAGTTAATCTATCAGATCAACTTGCAGAGTTGCCCATGAAGTTGAGCTATCAAACCCAAGGAGATTTAAAGTCCATTCAGTTTAAAGGCTAAATTTAAGTCTTCATCTTCCTTTTGTAGAAATATTTTGCCTGGCCTTACCAAAGGGTAAAATAAGGATTTTAAGATTGTCTGTCCTGCTTTATTATTCTGAGTCTCTCATATGCCTCAGCATAAGTTGCCTTTGCTCTGAGGTTGCTTGCTTCGTATGTGACAGCTGTAACAGATAGCTCAACACATTCCAGATATTCTTTCCTTTTTCCTTTTTTTTTTTTTTTGGCCAAGTTTATGAAATGAGAGGAATTACTTTAAAACAATTTTTATTATGTTTCATTTTGCCTATGACTTTTAAGATCTGTTCCATGGTGAGTGTTTAGTGTTGTTGGTTGCAAGATTCAGACATACTCTTCTTTCTTGAGGCAGCAACACAAGAGCTGACTAGTGAGCATGGGTGTTTCTATAGTCCATCCCTTTTAATTTGTGGGGTATTGTTTCACCTTTATGGCTGTGACTAAGTGTTGCAACTGCTAGAATAACATTTCTAGTTTTGTTTTCCTGTATGGTTGTGCTCTATGGAAGTTCTTCTTAATATGTAAAAGCTTAATATGTAAAAACCATTCTTTTAGTCAACAAAATATCAATTTTGTGTTAAATTCCACTTTACCTACTGACAACAGTGAAAATTATTAAGTTATTGTTTTTCTTCTTTTCTTGGTAGACTTGCAGAGGCAAAAGTTGCTAGTAGATTTATTATGTACTAAACACCCTGCCCCAGCTCAGCATTCCCTGTTTGTTCCATAAGAGTGTTGTACTTGGTTCAGATGTGATCTTTCTTCACAAACATACCTGCTTCACAGATGGACACAAGCTTGTAAAGCTTTACTCACAATCCACGACAGGAAGGCAGGAGCTTCTCTTGAAATGGAAAAAGTAAACCCTCTCCCTCTGAATTATTACAATTTTGAAATGATGGGGTTCTTTGGTAAAGATATGGGTGTAGGAATAACAGGTTTTTTATTAGCAAAAATAAAAATTCAGTAATATAAAACATCAGTGACAGAGTCAAAATACAACCTGACACCCTATTGGTAGCAGTCTGATTAAATGGTGGTGGCTGCAGTCCTCCTGGAGTGGCAGATGTATTTCTGTTGAAACAATGACTCTGTAGAAAGGGTGTAGGTTTTCTCTGAGGGTGCAGTGGTGTTGCAGATGGGCCTGGTCTTTTTCTGAGAATCTAGAGGGAAGAGGCTTATTTTCTGGGATTCTGGTGGGAAAAGGCTGCCTGTAGTGTTCTAAATTTTAGATTACATCCAGGGAGGAATGCTTGGCTCCTCCCCCTGGGTGGAGCATCTCACAATGGGTTGATGTAATTTTATCAGTCATGTTGTGAGACTCAATGGTCCATTAACAGAAGATATCTCCCCAGAGGGAGAACTGGTTGTGGAAGAGATAAAGAAAACTCCCACCTGGTTTTAACAGATGGCAATAGAAAACACATCTCCGGCCCTATTTTGCATTTGCAACCTAAGACAGCTCACTTGCAATCCTGAGCCATCAGTGGCTCCTTCATCTCTGGCCTAGGGATTTTTTCAGCTTTTTGTGTCAAGGGTGTACTGAAAACTGCTCTACACTGCCAGTTTAGGTGTCAATCATTGTATACATTAGTCGTTGCGCTGCAGTCATTAAGTATCTCTTTTGAATCTACGTATTGAATATATGCCAATTTTTGGACCCTGGTCTCCAGCTGTTGTGGGCAGATGGAAGCTTTGGACAGAGTGTATTAGAGAATCCCTCCCACTGAGTTACAAGGTACAGAACTTGTTTTCTAAACCCCTTGCATGTTAAACCCCTTTTCAGAGAGGAGTCAAGGTATGGTTTGATCTAATCTTCACCTCAGACTTGGTCAGCAGTTTATGTTTAAAGGACTGTGCACATGCAATTGAATCTTTATGCAATTTTGTCCACAAGATGGACAAAAGGGATGCCAAGGGATGGCAAACCAAATATACTTAAGTTATTAAAGTAAATTATTTATTGATGATATTAATGATAACAATTAGACTAAAAGAGCATTTTTATTTAATACATGGTACCGTTATAACTTCCAGTATAGTGCACTGTTTACTGAAGCCATATTGAAGAAACAATATTAAAGCTAGCAAAATAATTGAGAAGAAATTGATAGTACTTACCCATACCAGTGACCATGGGCAAGTCTCTTCTACTCAGCCTTAAGGAGTAACCTGGAAGGAAGGAAGCTACACACACACTCCATCGAAGAAGGAGTGTGTCAGAATTCTCTGCCATTAAAAAGAAGGCCTCGACTTTTGTGCTATAAAGTGATTGACAGTCAGATGTATCAGATCAACTCAGCAGCTTTACTTAAATTATCAGTACTGTCACTTGTTGGTTCCATTATAAGGAGCTCTGTCTGCTGTATCCTCACCAGTATCAGTTTCTGATGGGAAAGACTGTTCTTCACAGAATAGAGTGTTTAACTTTGGGATTGATGAGTCAGGCTGGTCTTATTCTTCAACATTCTTCAGCATTCTTCAACACCAAAAGCAGGGTGAACCCCTCTTCTCCATCAGCACTGATAACTTTTGCAAATAGATGCAAGTTTGAGCTGCTTTACCTCCACTTGGGGAGAGCATCCTGATGTCCCCGTAAGCAGATACCATGACTTCATTTTCAGCTGACATAATTATTTGTCAGTTATTTGCTGGGGGCTGTGAGTATACAACTTTTCATCTGCTGTAGTTCACTTGATACATGGTAGTTTATTAAACCCTCATATTTGGTCATGTGTGTCTTAACCTGTGTAATGGTTGAAACAATTTTTGCTGAAAAGATGATCAATGTTTCGAAGTGTTGATGAGTTTGTAAGAGATTGAGTTCAGCTAACAGTTTGACTGGACCCTGAGCTTCAGTAGTTTAATTTGCAGCTTATGTTTTAAGCTGATTTTGTTCAAATTGGTACAAAAGACTCGGTGTGTTCTCATATCAATCAACTAGGATAGCTTTAGTTAAACTTCGGTTAATTAGGAGGAAGTTTATGCTAAACTGTATATATTTCTCTTATGTGAAATAAGAATCTACAAGAAAACATGGTCATTCCTGAGCCAAGCTGATTTGCAAGACATAACATTTCCTGATCACAAATGTTTAATGTATTTAAGTTTGTTTTTATGAAAACAAACTGCCACAGTTCTTTTTAAAAAGTCTTAATTCCAAAATTTTGTGAAGATAGTCAAGCACAATATGCCTTCAAATTTTCAGTTGTCTTTCCTTTGTCTCTCTGTCTTTGTGTGTAGAAGTCATGAAGCTTTAGTTCTGTAGTATTTTTCTGTTACATTGTAACCACACTGTTAACTCCATCCTAAAAACTTTGCCCTAACTCCATCCTAGAGCATCGAAAATTACCCTAGCAGGACTGATGCTGTCTGCCCTCTGCTTTATGTTGTGTGGCTTGTGCAGTCTGTATTGCTGCTAGATAAAACTCAACTCCATTTGAGCAGGGAGTGTTGGGTTTCGTCTTTGCATTTTTCTGTCAATGCAGGAAGAACATACTTCAGTTCTTGGATGCTGAAAGAGATGTCTCAGTGGTCAAAAGCAGCTTCAAGCCTGGAGATGTAATTCATTATGTACTGGACAGACGTCGCACTCTAAACATTTCTCAGGATTTGCACAGCCTTCTTCCTGAAGTGTCCCCAATGAAAAATCGCCGATTTAAAACTTGTGCAGTTGTTGGGAATTCTGGCGTCCTGCTGAAGAGTGGTTGTGGAAAAGAGATTGACAGCCATGACTTTGTAATAAGGTAAGTTTTTAACTGCTGTTGAAGATGTAGGCTACTATGTTTCTTGCAGAAAAGCTGGGAGAAATGTTTTAATCTGAGGTACATATTACAGGCATTATATTACAGAAATTAATCTGAAACAGTATCTACCAACATGTGATTCCCCCAATTTAAATTCATGCCTATGTTATTGATAAGAAGATTATTGTGAAAATAAAACAAGGGAGAGTGGTTTGCATGACTTAATTTTGCTTTTTGCTATGCTTATTCCAGACAAAATTATTCTTATAGAGGTGTTGGTAGAGGAAATGCAAAATGGTTTCTCTTTTAAGAATATTATTTTTTAGCTTTTGGTCAGCACAAGTGGTCTTTTGTAACTTACTACATTACCTTTGTGTAACATATAGTAAAATTTCAGTGTGGTATATTGATGTTAAACCAGGATTCTACTGAGGTAGTTGGAAGTCACCCTAATATATTCCTTCATGTTGGTTTAAGAATCTATTCTTGCAGTTAGGGGGAAAATTATATGTTTTACTTTTTATTAATTCTTCAAACACACACAATAGTAGGCCTTTGGATTTCATGTATCATGTCAAAGCTCATTTGACATCTTGACATTATGTGGAAAATGCTGAGAAAGAGATGAGTACTTCTGCTTTTGAAGCAGAAGTTTCAATTTATTTGGTTGGAGAAGAGTGAAAGGGCAGAAAACAGGAGGGTTGTGACAGAAAGCAATATAGAAATAATAGTCATTGTGAGTTATTTGCTTTTTTTTCATCTTAAAGAATGATGGGGACAATAAATAGTAAAAGGAAAGTGAAAAGAAAAATAACAGTTTCACAGTACATAAATATAAGAAGAATATACATGAGTTTTGTAGTTAATTTGAAAGTTATTTTAACGAGTTGCACCTGAAGCAATGGCACACTTCTCTTTCCTTTTCCTTACTATTGAAGTTATTGAAATTAGCATTCTTACTGCAGAAGAAATTTAAAAGTAATTACCACAGTTTTAAACTGTGTGTAGCATATGCTATCTGAGATTAAATGTGATTTGTTTAACAGGATGTCTTGGCTTTGGACAAATTTAGGAAGAAATGTTCTGAAAGGGTGTATCCTTTAATGAAGAGTAGGTTTTAGCAACTTTTTTTATATGGGTTCTTACAGGTTTTAAAGGATTTTTCTCGGAGAAAGTGAAAAAATTGTTTATTTAACAAGCAAGTTGTTTACAGGTATGAAAAGAATGAATAATGTTAAATAATAAAACTTTTTGCTGCTTTGAAAAGATACAGAATTTTTTCTGTAGGTTCAGTCTTTTTCGAAGTCTGGAGCTGGCCTCTGTGCTGCAGTGCATTGTTGAGGGAACCCCTGGACAATGTTTTGATGTTTCCTATTGGAGAAAAGTTGCATAGTTCTAGAAGACAAAGGTACAGGTCCAGGAAAAACTACTCCTTCAATTAACACTTGAAAAGCTAGCTTAAAAGGAAAGAAATTAATCTGTCTGTTTTTCTTTAGAGAGAAAAAGCCACGAGTTGGGGAGAAACCAAGAGTCTTATCTCAGTGTTTTTAAACACAGGTAGCAAAACTATGTTATTGCTTTTCTTTCCTCTTTCTTTCTCTCTGGTTTTAGCTTAAAGCTATAGGACCCATTTTTGGACACAAGGCAGGTGATAGGGGATACAATAACATCACCCCACGACACAGGACTACAGAAAAAATTAGATGCTAGATTTTCTAGATTAAAATTTTCATAGAGAAGGCAAGGTACATACTTTATTTTAAATCATGTGCTGAATTTCTTTGCAGTCATCCCCATGCTCTTCCACACATTTTAACTAGCCATGAAACTAGATGATGATATCTGATAGAGGTTTTAACTAACTCAGCTACACAGAGTTAAAATAATATTCTAAAGACATGGTGGAGTTTAATAGGGTCAGTAAGAAGTTTCTGTTGCTAATCAGTTGTTTAGACTGGAGAGAGATGTGGGTGTTCTGTGAAGATGGTGAGGAAATGGAACAGGTTGCCTGGAGAAGCTGTGCATGTCCCATCCCTGGAAGTGTTATGGGACAGGTTGTATGGGGCTCTGAGCAACCTTGGCTAGTGAAAGGTCTCCCTGACCATGGTGGGGGATATAGAACTAGGTAATCTTTAAGGCCCCCTTTCGACCTAAACCATTCTGTGATTCCATGAAACATCTCTCATATGGTATATGAGAGATTAAAGTGATCTGTATAACAACTAGTGAGTCTGACAATATTCTGATTAATAATCTCTAACGTTTTGAGAATAACATGCTTGGGCCTCCTGCCTGTAGGGAGTTTCAATGCAGTGATTTTTAAATTTTTTTTAAATTTACAAATGAAAGTTAAGATGTTTTAGAATTTACATATTATATTTTAAACTATAAGATACTTATTTATTCAAGTCTCTATGCATGTATAGTTATATAGCATCTGTTTAAATAGCAAGGAATTTGTTTGTAGCTGAAGTTAGAGAAAAAAAATAATAATTCATCAGAGTTAGTTTTCTACATTCATCATCTTCTATTTAGAAAAATTGCAGTTGCATATCATTTGATATGTGATCATATGGTGTAATTATGAAGTTCTGGAGAGCTTCATAAGCCCTTACCTGTATTTTTGTTAGGATTCTGATATTAAAATGTACCATGATACTCTGTTAATACTTTTACTTTTATGTGATATCTCTAAAATGTCCTCACTTATGTGCCGCCTGATGGTATTCTTGAAAGTAGTTTCTGAATGTATCCAAATGTATAGGCTGGAGGAGGACAGTTTTGTAGAATCTTCTGATACTAAGTGCATTACGCCTGTGTGCTGTGACAAGTGTGTCATACTGTTCTGGTTAAATATATTCCCTTGATTTTGATTGTATTTTATGGGGAGGGGGGTGGGCAGTGGGGAGAGGGGAAGAGGGTGAAATCTGAAGGAAAATTTTGTCTCTGAGAGTTCTTTCTTAGAGGAGCAGTTCTTAGGTTAGAGTTAACACCAGAAATACCATTAATTTAAATATTAAAACTTTTTGCTGCTTTGAAAAGATTCAGAATTTTTTCTGAATGAATTTTTTTTTTCTGCTGAACAAACTGACAGTGAAGATCTGTGACAATGAAGAGGACACAACAGATATGCAACAATATTTGCAGTATTGATTAACTCAAGATCCTATAAGGGTAATGAAAGAGTTAATAATAATGGACAAACACGCAGAAGGTTCATAAGTTTAGTGAAGTCATGCCTATTTTGGCAGTAGAAAATGTAGTCCATCTAATTAAAATGGGAAGCAAGGACACTCTGTTTTTAAAAAAATCCCAAACTGTAATGACTATGAACTATTTTCTGATTCCCATATGCCTTCTTACCTCTCATGCTTTTATACCCCATTAGGAACTATTGATCTGTGTGCCCCTGCTACTCTCTTCTAGTGCCGAGCTTCAGTGTGCTGCATTTTGATCTATACCCAGATATTCCAAAATATCTGATTAGATTAATAAGTACATCTTGTTCCCATATTTCTGCACTTTCTCATGCTGAAATTACCAAGCCAGGTCTGAGTTAACTGTTGCATCCTATAGAGCAGATTAACTTCCTATAATTAAGTGGTATATTTTGTAATGCAGTGGTTAGGTAGGAGTTTCTGAGAAAGGTGGCTGTATTTTGGGCAAGTGTAAAATAACATTGCCGAGTAATAACTTGGAATTTCTTCTGGAAGCCAATATGTACCAAATAGTTCAGCTTTGGGTTCAGAATTTGAACAATATCAAAAATCAGAGTAAGTAGTTATTTTTTTTATTTTTCAAAATAATTTTACTTGACATTTGTGATGAGACCTATGCAAAAGCAGAGACCAAGTTCATTTTTAGAGTAATTTGGTTAAAACCAACCAGTCAAACAAGCCCTAGTAAATATATTGTGTTTTTTTTCTTGTGGTGACCCCACTTCTAGAAAAGTCCCTTTCATTTCAGTTGGACAATATGGAGAAGAGGCCTGTTGAATGAAGCTTTTTCAGTAGGATAGGGCTGTTCTGACAAAGAACAGCCATGAGAAGATATTAGTTGCTTCTTTCTTTGGATGGAAGTGTTTAGTTAATATGTTACAACTCTTCTTTTCCCACTGGAGTTTTTCCTGGTGACTCTGCCACCATTTAGGAACCAAATGGATGTTTTTGCCATCACTGGTGATAAAATTTTGCTGGGCAAATTCAGCTCTATTTTTCCGGCATTCTTTGACTTTTATTTTTTTAACTTTACCATCCATGTGGTTAGTGAAGTTGACATGAAAAGGCTTGTAGTCCCTTTTTTTTTTTTTTTCCTTTTGAGAGGAAAGAGTACATCCTTTAACAGATGTCTTGGTTTGCCCTGTATGTAGGTGAGGATAATCTGATTTGACTTTCTCCCTAGCATATTGATTTTTGTAGGCAATATGTGACTATTTCTGTGATATGCAGAAGCAAGCGTCGTATGTGTTATGAGCAGAAGACAGCAGATATGATCTGGCAGGAGAAAAGGACACACCTCATCGTACTGTGGAGGTGTGGTATCTTATTTCAGTAGAGTAATTTAAATTAATAATAAGAAATGAGTAGTAGCTTCATTAATGTGTGTTGTTCCTTCAGGCACTAGGAAAAAAGCATCACACATGTGTCAGAATAAAGGTATTTAGAATACTAATTTACCTATATCCTGGAACTTGTTTTTTGTAATTCATATCAGCTTTTATCTTCACATTTTTTTTAGTTCACCTTGTTTGAACCATGGCCGTCATGCCAAGTGGAGCTAAATCCTTGGAGCTAGCAGATCTGGCTTTGAAAGCAAAGTTGCCAATTTAACAGGCATATTTTAAAGCATGAGTCTTCCTCTAAATGTAACATCTGAATACACCATGACTAGCTCATTAGACCCTTTCCAGAACTCAAATGTGGCAGCTCTATTTTTGTCTTCTGTTTCTTCCTTAAACTTGTCATACTACGTTGAAACATTAAATTAAAGCAGAGAAAAGA